ACACACACACACACACACACACACACACACACACACACACACACACATAAACACACCATACCTTACTTAAAATACCCCTCTATTTTAAGAAAAGCTTTGACAATATCACTCATTAATAGATTTGTTTAGCCCGATAAGGAATTCTCCACCTGCTCTATTTCGAAGTCTATCAAAAGCTTTTAAGGACCCTCTTCTAAAAACAAAACATTTCACAGTAGCTAAGGATCAGTGGTCCAATACAGTGAAGTTCATGAGCCGAGGTTTGTGACCAGCAACATGCAGCCTACTTGAAACAAAAAAGCCTTAAAGTAGCAGCAGACCCTATGAGACGTAGTAGGACTAGTGCTAAAGTCAGAAGATGAAGTGAACTGGTTCCAGATGGAGGCTGCAGCTGAGGGGAATAGACCAATTATTTCTCTGTTCTACAGGGAACATGGAGAAGAAATAGGTCTGAAATATGTCCAATCCAAGGTTGATATAAGAGCCGAGAGCAGTGGCGCACCTAGTCGCTTTAGACAGGTACAAAGGGCATCATTGGTAAAATAGCATAATTGAAGAGGTTCATTGAATTTTCATTGAATCAAACATTTAGAGAGGTGTGAAATAGGATGTGTGCATCCGAGAGGATACAGATCTTTTTACTTTTTAAAGGGGATGGATTTTTGAAGTAAAATTATTCTTTAGTGTGTATATGTAATTATAAATAGATATGCTTACAGGCATTGCATTTTCTATTTGTGTAAGGACCTGGAACAACTACTGTTTGACTATGAAGCATGATAACTGATGACCACCCACCAGGAAAAAAAACCTGCCTCCCATCTATCTATATGATAGAAAACCAGTTGGGAAAATATTAAAATCATAATAATCACACCTGAAGAAAAAGAAAAAAAACAATAGTATCCATGAAAATGGGCCTTTTGGTTTTGGGCATTTTTTGACAGAACTAAAGAACAGAAGATCCTATCAACATGATCCCTACACCCCTAGAACTCTGATAATTTTAATTCTAATTAAACTATCCTAGAGCTATGTATATTAGCTCAAACATTCCCATTGATCGATATTATTTAAATAAAAGGAGTGAAAACTCACAAAAATCAACCAAGAGTTCATTCATTCATGACAAACTCATTTAGAAAGTTGCATATACTCACCGAACCATGCCTGCTGTTCTCCCTGCACCTCAATAGCCAGGCCAAAATCTGCCAGTTTGACCGCTGCCCCTTTCAACTTGCTGGCTAAGAGTAAATTCTCTGGCTTGAAGTGAAGAGACACAGAAAAAAAAACGTTCAGTACCTTGCACAAATACAGTGATATCATTGTAAAATGAAAATAACCATGACTGAGGTAAAGCCTTTCAGATTTTGTTGTGTTTTTGTTACGGGCAGGTCAAAGTCTTTTAAGCAGCAGGAAGGGCTGCCAGAGTTCACAGAGTGATAACATTAAAGACGGATGTCTCACAGTGAGTTTGAGCAGTTAGGACAAATAGCTGAGCTACAGGCCAACTGAAGCAGCTGTCCAGTCCGAAGGACACATGTCTACTGGAGTCAGAGTCCAGCCTCCACACACACACACACAACGTCACGACTGAACCTGAACGTAATCAGGCTCAACATGAGTCAGTCAGGAGCCACGGCAGACTTCGGACTTGTGGCATTGGGTGGATGCCATTCAACAAGATGCTGGTGGGCTGTAGTCGAATTGTGTGTGTGTGCCTGGCTGGTGGAGACGGACTGGTTGAGAGAGCCGGACACTGACTCATGCCAAACCCCAGCAGGAGGAGCTTCAGCAAATGTTCGGAGAGGATGAATAATGTATTTGCTGACATTTTCAAAGCGGTTTCCTTGATGCAGCCAAATGGGAGAAGATTCAGAATGACTGAGCTGTAATGTAATAACAATAAAGCTGCTTTTATCTTGCAACAGTTACACCAAGTTATCTTAAAAACAGTGTTCACCCTGGTTGTATATTATTAAGGGCCACGAAAGCCGTAATTCATTCTGAGCCTCTCATATATATTAATTCTACTTTTATTTCACTCTAACATACTGTTCCTATGTTTAACAGATATTGCTACATGTAAAAAAAAGATGCAGCCCATTGCCCTCATCAGGGAGTTTTGTATTTCCTCACTTGACAATCCCAATAGGAGTGCTTGCAGTAATTAAGGCTGCAAATCCATCAGTGAGCTGCAGTCCAGAAGCACCTGATTCAGCTGAAAACTGCTGCATGTTGAACCCAACCTGACGCATCAGATGGTTTGTGACATAGAAGCATCTGAGAAGCTGTCTGTTGAAAAAGGCAGGCACTTTAAAAAAATATGTCTCCTAAGAAACTTATGCTTGCATTCTAATGTGCCACAGCAAATCAATTTTGAGACAATTTTCTTTTCATCAACATAAAAATGTTGTCATGAAAGTTTCTGCAAATACACAAAACTTTGTGATCTGCAAATTATATTAAAGTTGTTTCAATGAAAACATTGTCTTGTAGCCACTACAGCATGATTGACATTTTATGTGTAGGCAACTGCCAGCTAGGCAAAGTAAATAGCAAAGCACAACACGGGTGGGTTTGCTTTATTAATATTTAGATATAAATATGTAAAACCAGCATCTTTCCCTAACCTAAACAAAGTGACTCAGAGGATTTTTGCCAGTGAAGCTACAATTTGGCTGAACAGATAAGTAGTAGATGAATGAATTTGTTCTGCTTTGTCCCTCCCTTTTAAAAGTGATTTGTTTGTTACTAAACATGTTTCTGGTTCTGGATCATTGATGATACAGAAAGAGACTTCCTGTCTATATTCTCAGAAGCTACACCTGAGAAGCCACATCAGGCTGTATGGAGAACTTGGTGATCACATTAAAATGTTATTCCTGTCAATCTCAAGATTTGCTAAAGAGTGAAGATGATCTGTCGATACATCGGAGGCCTTGTCATTGGTGAAAATAGATGTAGGAGAGGCCAAGAATGAATAATGGCTGCTTACACATACTTTGTTACACTGTTTTCATTCCAGGAAGCATCAGATATTTCATCAAATTGGATTCATCAGTCAATGTTAATATGTCAAGGTTGGTTAGGCAGTTAGTAGAGCATGTGTGAATTCTGAGGCGTGCAGTTCAGGAAGGGGGAATAAAATAAATCAAAAGGGAAAAGAGGAGAGAGGGAGGATTCTGGGTAAATGCATTCATCAGCATCATGCAGTCATTGCAAACGCTCCTCAACATCTGTTTACCCCCGCCCCTTCTCACCATTCTCTTACCCTCAACTTGGGTCTCATTTTGGTCCTTAGGGCCATCATTTCTGTTAGTTAACAATTTATTCCCAAATTAAATGTCAAGAGCTAGAAACACATAGACATTGCTAAAAAGAAGTCCGACAAGGGGGTCAGATGATCAGCCAACATTTAAACAAACCCTGAAGTTAGCTAGACTTGTTTGGAGGGCAAACCGTACAATTATTACCCGTTTGTTGTTAACATCCATTACAGTTTACAGTCGGACTTCCTGGTTTAACTGTGACCTACTTATGGTTTACCACCTGAACATATTTGCTGGGTATACATACTCAAACACATGACTGGGTTTCTGCATTTGTTTCTGCAATGTGCAGTTCATATCAGATTGATCTGGAGTTATGCTCCTTCCTTGCTACTGGTGTGCTATGGCTGTAATTGGATTCTGTAATACTGCAAGTCATCATGTTAATAGAATTACTGGCCAGCTGAACCAGGCTGGGGTTCTGCTTGGGTCTGGAGGACTACTACTATTACTGACAAGAGCACAAACTCAACCTGCTGGCAAACACAAACAACTTCTCCCCAGGTTTTAAAATCTTTGTCTCAAAGGAGAATATCACAGATTATCCGACAAGTTACTCTCACTAGTAATTGCACATAACTGGGATTTTCTTTCAGACCAAAATTAGAGAGATAAGGAAATAGCAATGGTGATTAAAAATAAGAAATACAATTATTTTGTGTGTTCTATGTTATCTAAATATTCTACTAATGCTGCTATAAATGCAGCTTTCTCCTAATATTCTATTACAAATTTAACCAACCGTCTCCGGTGTGGGAGAACTACTTAACATCCAGTTGTAAATTTCGTTGTGGAGGATAGCAAAAAGTAAAAATACTTTAATTTTGGACAGCAATGTAGTCCACCATTACCACTGCCGTTATCATCGAATTTTACAGTCCTGCCCTTGTTCACTATATAACGATATTGTCTGCCTGATTCCATGTGAATGCAGCATAAAACAAGTCAGTGAACTACGGATGGGTGGCTGAGTAAGGTGTTGGTCCACCATGAAACTCCAGAACAGCTTCATAACTCTTTGTCAGGAAGTGGATCTTAAGGGGAACTACACAGATTTTACACATCAACGTTTGTTGAAGAGGTCTTATGGAGCACTTCTGCATATGTAATTTAAAAGTTATACAAATCCTTTGTCTCTAGAGGGAGCTGTGAGAAGTCTGATAAAGGTTCTCAAGGGATGTCTCTTGAGTCTGCGTCAGTTCAGACTCAACACAGCAAGTATGAGAAATAAATACATCTAGAGGTAAAGGGTTAGAAAGAAGCGATCGAACCAGATCTCTGTAGCTCAAGGAGGGCAGCTCAAGGCTACATTGGTCACAACTACCATAATGGTATATGTTCTGTAGCAGGCCTGAATGAGACATTAGTGCTCCACAAAAAAAACATGTGTCTAGACTCTTCACATAAACTTTAGAGCTTTACAAGAACTTTATTAAGACAGCTATGTGTTACTTTCCTGTTTGCTTGTGTTTCCTCAAAACCCTTATCTTGAGAAATGAAATCACATGAATACACACACAATGTGGCAAACAGTGTTTTCCATGGAGCCCCTGCTCTGCAGCTTGCTTATTTGTTAAGGTTGTATTTGTATTGCTTTGTGTTTCTGCAGTGAGCTGTAGCAGCTGCCTGGCAACAGCCAATCAGAGTGCAAAGAGGGCAGTCGGCAAATGCAAAATCGGAGCTTATTATTGCTGTGTATAAACCAAACCTCAGACACACCTGGTTCATTTGATTAGCAAATCAGAGCTTTAGGAGCAAACCACAGGGAGAAAAAGCAGCATGAAAGATGGAGACCACTGTGGAAGTAATGTTCACTAATGTTGAATTAACATTTCATCATGATGAGACATTTGACCTCAGTTAAATGCATTCAAATAGTCCATCTCATAAGTGACCCTAACCCCATATTGCATCTGTATCCTTCAATTAGAAATAGTTCTATGACCCAGTTAGGAGATGGTGTTTGAGTACATCAACCAACTTTACTACTAGAAAGTGGGCATCCTCCATGGACGTACATTATTCTCCAAATGCAGCCAAAACCACATTGGGAAGGGGAAGTTGTATTTCAAGAGAAAATAACTCGAGCAAGATAACTTGTTCCAAGAACTAAAGTATCAAAGCCAGAAATCCTGCAGTCATTTAACAATGGGCATAATCATTTTAACTACAACTACAAAGGTGCAATCAGTGTACGCAGACCTCCGTTAGGTGTCTGCAATGACGACTGCTGTGGGATTGAATGAATACAACTCACAATGGGCTGTGAGGCATCATAAAACACACTTCAATCAAACTCAATAACAAGCAGCGATGTATGCAATCTGCTCGAAGTCGTCATATAAGACAAGTCAAATAATCTTGCAGAAAACAACTTAAACTCACCAAGCTGCCAGCGAAGCAGCAGCTCAGTGACGGTGAGGTTCATCAGTGTGTGTACTGGTAGTTCCATTAGCTGTTAGCAGTTAGCCAAACAGGCAGAGCAGAGAGGTACTCAGCAGTAGGGATGGGTATCATATCGATACTCTTATCGGTTCTTTTTCATTACTAATTGCTTTTTATATTATTAAACATCTTTCAGTCAGTATCAGTCATCCCTCTGATGTGATTCACTGCCTGCAGGCACCGCTGGTAGAGGGAGAAGCAGCTGCTTTGTCTCAGCCAGCAGAGAAGTTTACAAGATGTTTAAGATGACAAACTAAGATAAAGGGTTAGACTGCAGACAGACAGCTTTTGTTTTAGCTGGTTTGTAAAACGTTTCTATGAGCTAAGCTAGCGCGCTGTGCTTGTGTAAAACAGCAGCGGTGGATGAGAGACTGAAGAAAAAGAAACAGAAAGAAGAAGAAGAAACATTCCTTTATTAGTCCCACAGTGGGGTAATTATTCTCTGCATTTGACCCATCCCTGTATACAGTATATAGGGAGCAGTGGGCTGCCAATTACAGGCGCCTGGGGAGCAGTTAGGGGTACAGTGTCTTACTCAGGGACACTTCGACACAGGACACGGATGGCGGACAACCCTCTCTACCCAGTAAGCCACGGTCGCCCACAGAAGAAGACTGCAGACAGATCATACTGAATAATCACTTTTCTACATGTTTATGCTTGTTCAACAGATGGATAAAGTATTGGCTTTTTGATTGTGAAGGTTTTATTGCAACAGTAAAGAGCGTACTTGTCATCAACTAGAGTAATCTTCACTTCACTGTCTCCACCCAACCTCTCTGATCTGCTGTTCATCGACTTTGCTGTGTGTGTGTGTGTGTGTGTGTAGTTAGAGGAGCTCTGCCCCGGCACAGAGAAGATAATAAAATAAACCAAACCTTTAAAAGTAAAAGAACCAATATCGTCAAAGTGTTTTCAATACTCCAGTCTTTAATAATTTGGCACCTGTGCCTATTTAACACCAGGTTTCAGTACCTATCCCTTCCTCAGCACTGTGTGTAGTGCTAGTTCCGTTAGTTGATACCTAAATACACCGTCTTCAACACTAAAAGTGAGCAAATAGCCAGAATCAAAAAGCGACGCTCTGTGGTCCGACAGGTCAACATGATAGAACACGTCAGAGGCTGAAAAACTCTGTCAGTCTCTTTGTCAGGATGTTGTTCCTAGATACTGTGTTGGCCGTTTTCCACAATGACACACTAAATAGATACAAAGAGCAATTGTTGCACCCATGCCAATGTGAATATGATTTAACAGACATTTAAAACACTGACCATCAAAAAGTGTGAGGTTGATATTTTATCGAAACACGACTCTGGAAGATACGAGATAAAAACTCCAATTGAATTGGGGAAGTAATGGTGTAATGGGATTTTCAAACAAGAACTGACAGGAGTAGAGCTGCATCAGCATAGATGTGTAAAAGAAGAGGACCAACGCGGGGGGGGAGGTTAGCATGTTGGAGTGTGGGGCCACAGGACACAACAGAAAAGATCTTCACGGTGAGTGTACTTACCTTGAGGTCGCGGTGGACCACGCCCATCTGGTGGCAGTGGAGCACGGCCTCTAGGATCTGCTGAATGCAATGACTGCATGCAAACACCAGGGGGCCATGTGTTAGTGACAAGCTATCACTCACTGTCTGTGGCTGTGAGCTGGCTTTGACACTCGGGGAACCGCTGGCCGTGTTAGCAGAGAGACTGTGCAGCAATGTGGCAATGGACCCTCCCAGCAGCCATAATGAGGCCCGCTAAGTGGACCACTTACGCAATGTTCAAAATGTTTATCCGTGTTGCCACGGTTACCAACTGATGTTTGCTGTGACAGGCCCAGAAAAGAAAAACATAGGTGTAATTTTTGTAATCATCTACAACTGTGACAACACGGCCAGTTCTGTCCCAGAGTCTCCAAACAGAGGTGGTGTTAGCCCCTGGCCAGCTGGAGGCCGGACCCTGAGAGGCTGAGGAGGGAGACCAAGGTGTGCTGTGGTGCTCGGTAATAATAACAGTGTTGATGAAGATGCAGGTTTTGTTCCTTCTTTATTCTGTCAACACAACAAACTAGAAATTACTGGAACTGAAATTTTGACACTATTTATAAATATTAAAACAAGAAGAGTGTTTGGAACATAGACTCAGGACGTATCGTTTCTGCATTCGATCAGAGAGATACTTTTGTGGCCATCTTTTAACGGGACAGTCGAATAATTATAATAATCTCCTCAGGCTCAATGATTAATTTTTTTTGTATCAAAACCATAATTGAATGACTTATTATTTATTCCAAAATCAGCAATAAGTAACGATCTCTAAGCAAGAAAAGTTTAGCAAATGTGCTTCTGGCTATAGCCTATAGGCAGACAAGGGTAGCCAGAATATGTAGTAGGCAGTAGCTACTCAATGCTAAATATGCGATTTGGCCAGACTGGCAGACGTTGCCAGGTTAGGATGATCTCTGCACGCTGTGTCTGTACTATTTGCGCTCAGACAAAAATTGTCTCCTCAAGGAAGAAGAACCATTCTCTATCCTTTTGCGTGGTAAGTCTCTCTCTAAATAGACAATCTAGCTGGTTGCTTCACATTCACTGTTCAGGACTGGTCCTGAGTCAGGGCTACCATTTCAGATCAGTAGTTAGCAGCTAGCCAGCTAGCTAGAAGCTATGGAAACAGATTTGTACACAGCTGACAGGTGTCATGGTGTAGTCTTGAATGAATATTTTGTGGACTTTAACATACAGTACGTGGGTTGTGATTATGCTTGACATAAACATCTAGTTTTAAAGTAGTCCTATGTAGACCATCAATACAACAAATAAAATAAACTAATTCAAATTAAAATGGCAATATTGGTTGAGGAAGTGGATATGAAATATTTCTCTCTAACGGCCCTGATGTAGACGGAGCCACATCCTCTCTGAAGTGTCCGATTGATCTTACAATAATTGATGATGTGATGGTGATGGTGGAGGTGCTTTAGGTTGAAACACAGCACAGATCTGTGATCTATAATAAAACCCAAACCTGAGCTACGAGGACAAATTTAGTATCATAATTTGAAACCCAAGTTGTCATCCATTTATACTGGTGTCTAAAGCCACAAATCGCTCTTCTTCCTCTTCCTCCTCCCTCAGGTGACTGCCTCTCAGTGGCTGTGTCCGAGCATGGCGTTGGACAGATGCTACATGCACTTTGTGCCCTGGCATTCAGGAGGGGCAGGCCATGATGAGATCTACCCCCCCCCAATACTACACCACCTACCGCCTCCTCTCCAGCCAACCTGCCCACAATGCCCTGCAGCAGGGGGATTTACCAACACTCCTGTCAAGTGGTGGTGTGTGGGTGACTGGTGGAGGAGGGGGTGTGGTTTGGAAGGAGGCGGCACTCAGTGAAAGGTTAATTGGTCGATTGGTCAAGCAGTGGAGGAGCGAGGCAAGGTGCCGCAGGCCTTTGTCTTTTAGCTGTTACTGTCGTCACTTACTAACCTTAAGGTCCCTGTGCACTATGCCATTTACGTGGCAGTGATTTACACTTTCTAGAATCTGCTGTATGCAGTGACTGTGGAGGAGAGAGAGACCAGGCCAGAAGCAAAAAGGAGAGGAAGAGGGAGAACAGGTAAATATCAGGAAACAGAGGAACAAGAACAGGCTGACAGAACACACCCAACACATGAAACAACAACACCTACTCGACAAAGGGGAGGATCTAAAGGAATAGTTCAACGTTCTGGGAAATACGATGATTCACTTTCTCTTCAGGAGTACGACAAGAATATCTGTATCAATCTCATGTCTGTGTGTTAAGTACAGAACTGGAGTCAAGATGATGTTAGCCTAGCTTAGCATAAAGACTGGGAGCAGGGAGGGAAACAGCTGGCCTGGAGATTTAAGTGCTGAATCTATTTATTAACAGTTTATCCATCCGCCCAGCACAATGCAGCATATTACTATGATAACTATCATGCAGGCTGCCAGATACAGTGGAACTTTTGGTATAGGTCTTTGTGCATGTACAGTCGGACCAAACCTGGAAACATTGCGGTGACAAGATTCTCAGATTCTGCAGACAATCACTGCACCCAGCTGTTAGCAGAAGAGAAAATACTTCAAACTCATAACGCGCCCAAAACCACTAATTATATCCCTTTATTTAATCTGTACATCAACAAAAAGGTAAACATGACGATAGTTAATCAGGGATCTTTTTGGTGTATTTTTGAACTGTTTCACCTGCTCCAGTCTTTGTGCTAAGCTAGTTTAACCACATCAGTAGTTAACACACAGACACGCGATTGTTATTTATCTTCACGTCACTCTTGAAAGGAAAACACATGGTTGAACGGTTTCTTTAAGCAATTTCAATAGACAAGTAGAGAACAATACACATGCATGTTCTTTTCCATCTATAAAGCTCTTTCAGATGTCCTCTTTAAAATCTTTTCTTACAAATCAATAAAATCCACTACGAAACAGAATCCAGATCCTTTACACATAAAGCTGTCTGACATGAAAAGAGTTACGACTCTCAATGACAAATTCTGCCGCTGCTCCAGCAAGTGAAAGTTAAACTTGGATCTAGCTAACTGAAAATCTTAGATGAACATTGAATGGAAATGCTCTGAGATCAATCTTTACTGTACATCAGAGAGGGTTCTTTTTTAAAGTGGATTTTAATAGCTGGTCAGAAGGTACTTTTGGGGAAAGTAGATTCACAATCAAAGGACAAAGGTAGAACAAGAAGTAAGAGAGGTTTTGGCAATAAAAGGCAGATCAAAGGTAGCACAACAGGAAACACTTGTGCACTGCATCATGAAGAGGGCCTGTATTATTGTGTGTAATTCACATAAAAGCAGCTTATAGGTAATCTCATGATATGTATGGATATCATTTTGTTCTATAGTGCGTATCTGCTTGAATATGCCTTTGATGCCAAAGTAGACTAAATGGGTTTCCCATCACATTTATACAGTCAACTCAGAAATACAACAGAGCTTCACACTAACCTGGCATCGGCTTCGCTGTAGTACTCCCGGGCAACAATGTCCTCAAACAACTCACCACCGGTCACTCTGGAGGAGACAAAGTAAGTGACAGAATGAGAGAGAGAGAAAGTTGCTCAGGAAATACATGCATGGCAAAGTGGTGAAGTGTAAAATCACAGATGTTCAGGGGAAAAAAGACTCAATAATGTTGCACACTAACAAATCCAGATGAGATATTTTTTTCTTACCAACTGGGTCAAAAGAAGGATGTTGTGCTTTCTGGCCTGGAGGGTGAAACGACTGCAATAATATCTTTCAGCAGATATGCTCATACGGTATGTGGACATTGTTTATTCAGCTGGAAGAGGTTTCCCTGTCTTTCCATGAGGTTATGGCTAAGAGCCAAGTCGAAGAAAACATTCCTGATGATGTCATCTGTGTCGCATTGACAGAGCTATCTCCACAGTGTTGAGTTGAAGAAAGGTCTGGCTCCACACATTATCATTCTGGGATAGGGGGAAAACGCTCTGCCTTGTTTGTGTCTCCTTAAACCAATCTCAATGGTCTCGGGTGCCGCTAAGCACAGGATGAAACCACGATGCTCTTGTAAAATAGATAGCATAGAAAGTGGAAGGTGTTTTGTAAAAAAAATTTAAAAACACTGCAAAGCTTGGTGGCAGACAGAGGCTCAGATTGCACAAAAAGTAGTGCTATGATGTTGGGTGTTACGGCGACTGTGATGAATGCAAATGCAGTTCCCACTGTTCTGATTGCTTAAAAAAAGTCAACTTTATAGAGCGTCTTTCTACTCAAAGCGCTGTAACCTACATGTCATCATTCACTCTTTCACACATTATTCATACACTGATGGCAGAGGCTGCCATGCAAGGTGCCACCTGCCCATCAGGATCATAACTAATGCACATTCATGCACCTGCAGACTGGAGGAGCTGGGGACCACACATATGTGGTGTGTTCTTTACTATGAGTTTCTCTAAAATTAGATTTAAAAAATACAATACATAACCTTGCTTACAGTATTGTAATACCAAAAAGCAATACCAGATTCTTTCCAAACAGCCTCTGCCTTGTTTGATACATGGCGGCTTATATCTTATATCAACTTGTGAGATGTGTTCAGATGTGTAAATATTGTGTATATGTTACTGGTTAATAGTGAATGAAGATGGCACACAGCTCAAATTGAAAAGTTTCAGGTTCACCTGAAAAAAAAGCACTGAAAGCATGAATATCTTTTTTTAATGATGGCGGTGAAAGCTAAAAACTCTCCCAAATCATAGCACAACATGTCAGAAGTCTCTCTGCAAATTTTTGCTTTGATAAAGTGAAGCAAAGAAAAGTTAGAGAGGTTTTAGTACAGAGAGGTCACGGGAGGTCGAGCTGATTTGTCATTTTGGAAGCAGCTGTTCCAGCTGTTCAATTGTACTTTTATATACTACCGTAAAAAATTTGCCGAAAGTGAAATCCCTTCCCCCACAGTCCCCCAGGCTCGTCTGACCCCCCCTTACTCCAGGAAACAGTTGAAAAAACACAGGAAATACGTAGCAACAGTGTTTTTAGCCAGCAAAACGGAATATGAATCATTTTTCTTCATGATTCGTCTCAAGGTACGAAGCATTTATGGTTTATTCTGCGGTGGAGTGGCTTGGTTTTGTGGTGCTTGTTGGCTGTAGGATTGTAATGGTTCCACGGAGAGAAACTCTGAAGATATCTGTGGACTCTGTGTCGAATGCTCGTGCTTTTTGCTATCTCGGTTGTCCGTGTTAGCGGTTAGCTTTTTGTTCGCAGCTTTGTACAGAGTGCATGGCTCGCCGAGTCATGGCGAAAAATACGTGATATTGTGGTACGTCTTCTAGATATTATATTAGTTTGTGTATAATTGTGTTTGCAGTGTGTAAAATGGCTTACATGATGTTTTTGCCCAGAATTTTCTTCGTTAAGTCGGTATATAATATGTGTGTAGCATTCATTATATTTGTTTCTGAAAAGTGCATTCTACGACACGCTCTTCGCTAAACGGTCCTGCTCGAACCCCAAATGGTCCTTGCTCGGGCTTACTATTAGCTAATGAAAGCGGTTATTGAGTTTCATATTTTTTGAAGGGATCCAGTGTTTTCTGAACTCTAACCATACAAAAGGATTTAAAGCCAGGATATGTCTGAATATTTCTTGTCTGTTAAGTTGCTACTGACCGTAATAACCATGTAAATAAACTGATCTACATGTGTAACATTGATGGAGTAAACTTTTACATGTTTTAAACACTTTACAAAAGTAGGCCAGTGGGTCAATTTACTCAAAACACGGAGAATGACTTGAAATAGTATATTCTCTTTTCCATGACCTGTGGAAAACATGAGCACTCTGATGAGTCTTCAGGGACTTCCATATTAAACTTGAAATGACTTTGGTGTTTTTGTTGGCCTTCACTCAGCTGAGAGACTCAAACAGAGTGTTAACATCATTCTCTCTGAGCAAGCATGTTCTCCCAGTCTTTCACTTTCTCAGTAAATAAAAAGTTAAAACCGATGGAGATACAACTTATTAGCTTCCTCCTCTGTTCATGGCTAATTTTCACACTGACATTACCTCACAGCAGAGTTGTTATACCTCGTCATGCAGGTCTGGGTCATTCCATGCAAGTTTTCTCTTTAGGAAGGATTTCTATCTGTGTGTTGTTTTTTAGCAAAGAACACCAGCTTCTCTTTCTTATTGTCAGATTAACAGCATTCAATATACGTTGGAAGCCATTTCCTTTCTGGCTGCCAGGTTAGACTGCAAACATCCTCTGACAATACACATGAGAGCGGAGGAAGGGAGGAGATGGTAAGTTATGGAGGGAGAACGGGAGGAGTGAGAGATTTAAAGGAAGGAAGGAAGTGACAGAGCAAAGCCCTGGATACCAGGGTTACAATGAGGAAACCATACTGACTGCTTCATTAACACAATGGGAGATGTGGATGTAATAGAGGTTGATGATTTAAATAAAAAGCATATTTACAGGCAGGTAGGCATACATAAACAGATAGGGATCTGAAGACAATTAAATACCAACATACCAATAGTATGTTTCCTATTTAAGTTATTTACTCTGTAATGCTTCATGCTGGAGGAAACGAGGTGGAGAGCTCACATTTTCCACTTCATAAGAACACTTTGGGGGAGGAAACCAGGTGGCAAGGTCATGTTGACTAACTAGCTCGACTTTGTCACTGAAATGTTGGCTTGGGCAATAATAAATAACAAATGCTATCATTCAAAATTCCATCCAATTAAAGTAAACTGAGCATGAGGACTTAAACTGTGAAATGATTTCGTTCCACAAGCCATCTGGCCCACATGAATGATGGTTTAGGTACAGTGTTTTACTCAGAAGAGAGCACAGGACTTGTGATTTACAGAGCACATCTGTACGACATGGTAGGGGAAAAACATGCAATTTAACTAAAGTTGGACTTTAATGTCTTTTCATTTGGTATTTGAAGCTCTTTGAATAGCAGACATTTTGATGTGTCACATAATACAATGCTAAAGAAAAAAGATACGAGTGAACGATTTTATCTAACTTCTTTAATACTTATAAAGCTGAAGTATATGATCCTTGTTCACTTGCATCGTCTCAGTGTGTGTGCGCGCACATGAAGCTGTCATATACTATGTGCTGGAGCGTCTCTGTGCTGTCTGTGTGCAGCGTGTGAACATGGCGACAGTGTGTGATGATGGAGCGCACGGCGTTGCTGAAACAGACGGAGCAAAGAGTAGGCGGAAAATGAACGCAGGAGGTGAGTGCGCTACGTCTAATCTTCCATGGCGCCTCGGTGACAAGACATGTGATTGGCAGCTGTCAGCTTGTAACTCTCCTGAGCAGGATGTGAATGTGTGCTCGGCTCGTGTTTAACCATGTGGTGTCTGAAATGTGCATGAAGGTGATTTGCAAAATAAAAATGCTGCACTTACAAGTCAAAGACCAGATAGTGGAATCCTTCCTCTGATATGCTGTCATGGAGCCGCACTGTGAGGGAGGGAGGAGAGAGTTATTCAGTTATGTGAAATACTACAACCTGCTACATTGGCAGCAGTAGTAACTGAGTGAACTGTTGTCTTCTCTCAGTGTGGTTCAGAGTTTCAGACAGCATGTAGCTTTCTCTCGATTAAACTGCTTGTTGAAGTTTTGGGCACATTTTTTGGGGGCCTTTTTGGATGCAAAGCAAATCACAGTGAATCAAAATAAAACAACCTATATCACATGGTCAGTACATTTTTTCAATAGTCATATATATACAGGTACATTCCTGAAAATTGACCACTGCATTTAACCCATCCTAAATATTAAGGAGCAGTGGGCTGCTGTGAAACAATCGGGGAGCAACTTTGGGTTCAGTGTCTTGCTCAAGGACACTTTGACATGTGGACAGAAGCAGCCAACCTTGTGGTTAAAGGATTAAAGTGCATGACGCAGGGCTCGTCCTTTTGTTTATATCGCCACCTAGCGTCTGTGTCGGGAGTGATATCCAGCGAGGATTGTAACCAATTCAATTTAGAGATACAATGGTGGTGACTGGGTCCACCCACTTACTGTCAGAAAGAAAAAACACTTGCGAGCGAGCAGGTGAAAGCTTCGCGAGCAGAAGAGCAGTGATAGAAGTCGCGCTTTTTACACAACGTGGGTGCTGAGCATTAGATTGACATCTGCGCTGTTAACAATGAAACCGCTTTGCGCTAGGTGTCATGATTTCACCTGTAATCATGAATAGTGACATCCTGTAGCAGTCTAAGAAAGGGGACACATTCCAGGAATGTACAGAATGCACTTTGTACGTTAAAAGCATAGTTTAGGGCAATATTTGGGTAATATGTTTATTTGTTTTCTTTCCGAGTGCGATGGGAACATTCTCGTTCTCATATCGGTTTGTTTCAGGACGCAGGAGGAAACAGCTAGCATAGCTCTCTCCAAAGTGGCCCATGAGTGCTGGGCAATTCAACGGAAAAGTACCGTCATTATATGTAGCGGACATCCAACGAGAGATTTTGACACTGAAATGTCTATGACATAATCTAAACTAATAAACGTCATTCAGGGACTGCTCTCAGGACCTTTCAGACGCTAAGCGGTCAGACTCACAATGTTTCTCGGCATAGTTAGGGATAAAGTGTCTGCCTGCAGTGATATGGTCCACATCTCTGAGACCAACAGAACCACACCGGTCCACGCTGTCCTTTGTGTCTCTGACCCAAGACTCTAATGTGTACTGTAATGTTTAGTATAATGTTATCCAGTCATGTATTATGCATATAGGTGCACATGTATATCTGCATAGGTCTTTCTGTGTCATGATAACAATGTCCATCTATGTTGTGTAAGGTGCTTCACAATCTGGTGCTCCTCAAACTCTCAGCTTCTGAATGGTGAGCTAAATGTTTAGAGAATTGAAATTAAATTGAATAAATCAGTCAATGATACGAGTCACTGATTCTTCCTGGTCACATGTAATCCTTTTCATTTAGTTGTAGTTCATCATTCTTCATTGTACTCTTCGTCATATTCTTCATTCATTCCTTTCATTTTGTTTATTTTCTGTTGAGTAGTTTAGTTATGTAGTTAGTCAAATACATATTTCATTTATAAATTTGATCATTTGATTTGTGTGTATATGAAATCATAGGTCCCTGTACACCTTCAGAAGAACCTTGAGATTAAGATGCAATTGATTAATTGTGGTGTCTTCTGTTAAATCTTCTGTTAAATGCTGTTAGTTAAAGTAATGGTGGCTTATGGCGTAAGCAGAGTGCCATCATTCTTTTAAAATAATTTATGGGTTTATAAGTCAAAAATCGTTACATATCTTGGTATTAATTCATTATTAAATCTGCTACCAGTAACAACATTACATGTGCCACACAGGGATGCACAAAGAAATGCAGTCATAGCCCATTTGCAACACAAGCACAACAAGACTAAGAAAACAAAGACAGGATGAATTCATGCAGCAACAAAAACAATTCTCTAGGCAAACAACATGGCTGGTATCTTAAAAATTCAACATCAGGGACACATTGTCCATCAACATTGACTATGTTTGAGCACCAAGCATCATGGAGTTAACAGAGAGACCACCTCCTCTCATCCCACCAGAGTCCTGTACTTTGTCCTTCAGTCCGCCACCTCGGCATGTGGTCTGGCTGATCAGATCCCAATGAGAGCAAGATCCGGCCTTGGAGCGTACAGACTTGACAGTTAATGCGTCCTGGCATGATCAGATGACAAAGGTCGTATTCAAAAGACAAGTGTAGCCACGGCCATCATGATGCCTCCGACCAGAATGGAGTACTGGAGCATTAGCTCAGGGGTTACAGAGGCTTTGTTACAGCAACACTGCCTGATCCAAGCTTTGAAACATGTATTGTATTCTGAGAGAGGCAGCTTTGATTGTTGGCCCAAGGCATATTTTTATGAAAATCTATACCCAATGTATTAGTGACCTAGATGTGTCATGTATAAACTAAAATCTACAAGCAAGAAATTGCTTCTGTCCCTTAATAAAATGTGGATCTTTATCATCATTTCTATACAGAGCGTCACTGACCATCATGGGTTGGGTTTCAATAGGCAGGTTCAGTTTCAAATGCGTTCCCACGATCATAGAATACCTAAATGACCAAATATCTTATCTATCCCCACTCACAAAGAACAATGAACACCAACTAACATTGTTAAACAGTATGTGTTGGCTGGTCAAACCTGTATGCCAACGTTGGCCAATTTCCTTATCATTCACAGGACCAGTGTGTGGGAATTAGTGGCATCTAGCGCTGAAACAACTGAATATCCTGAATCCGGAGTGCCGAGTCATCTCGACTGCAACGATCATATCGCATACTTCTCAGAAGTCGGTCAACTTTCTGCAAATCATATGAATAATTTGAGTTTATCAAATTAAGAATTCTGGTCCAAGATCACCAGTATATGAAGCAAGAAGCTTTTGAAAATAAGATGAACAAAAATAGGTTGGCTACACTTGTTGTCAACCATTCATTTGACTGGCATTCATAGCTTTGAGTTAATTCCCTTATTAAATCCTAAATGGATTTGATAAGGGATTCTTAAGGATTTAGATGCGATACCGGTATTTGATACTGTCTTAATCTTTAATAAAAAGCTGTTGAAACCAAATCCTTGACAAATCAGGTTAGTAAACAAGATCAATTACCATTTAGAGTGACAATAATGCAGGTTTAAACAGGCACAACGGAAAGCTCAGCTACAGTTGATTTTGGCTCCATGTTTCAATAAGATACAACGACTGATTTGTGTTTGGCCTCTTATCATGTCAGTATCTACAGACTCCATTGGTAATTCAACCAGCAGTAAGAGACCGATTGTACTGTGAATGTGTGAGACTGTGTGAATGTGAAGCAGGGAGCTTTTCGAAAGAGCTACTTCCAATTTCAGTGATATAAAAGGTTCAAGACCAACAGGCCAGAGCATGAGATGATGGGTGAAAAGATTCCCCTGGAGCCAATCTCTGATTTCTCCGTTAGCTTGTCAGATTGACATCTCAGAGATCTATCACCACGACGACCTTAAGGGAATGAGGGCTTTCCCACAGCTGGAGGCTGTGGGAAAGGAATAGCAATGAGAGCAGCGCTACCTGCTACAAGACAATCACTACGGAACAGGAGCCAGGTCGACCTCCAACAGTGTGGCCATGTGTGAGCAGGCCAGTAATGACAATCTCCAGTGACCGATTCAATTCTGGAATCAATCAGTATTCACTCTTCTGATGACGTACATTGTTAACACAATAGAAACTGTCACAATTCAGCTCCACACCCTCCTCACTCTTCTTGTCAGTCACTCCCTCCTCATCAGTCTAAACTCCCTTCACCTGTTCACTCACCTGCCTCTGATCAGTAATCAAGCCCCTATATAGACTCCTGCCTCCCAGACACATTTGCCAGATTGTTCTTCGGTTTTCCATGCCAGACTCTCCAGCACGCTCTCAGAGACTGATCCCCTGTTACCGACCCTGCCTGCCCCTGTTCTACCCGTCTTGCCTGACTCCCGGTAAACCCACCAGCCTTCTGATCCTGATCCTGTTTTACTCTGCCTGCCGTATCTGGAAACCCTGCCTGCCCCTGTTTTACCCGCCTTGCCTGACTCCCGGTAAACCCACTAGCCTTCTGATCCTGACCCTGTTTAAACTCTGTCCGCTGTTATCGAAGTTTGTAATAAAAGGTCAAAGATCCCTGGAGTCCTGTGTGTTGCATTTGGGTCCATATACAACCCGTTACAGTATAATCTAGCCAGTCATGGACCCAGCACACACCCCTGCACCAGTGAGCCGTTTTGAGAGAATCGAGGGGGCTCTCCAGCAGCATGAGGCACTGATGACCAACATCGCCGCTGAGACACGTCAGTCAGCAGCAGCCCAGGAGCAGGCTATGGCTGCGTTAGCTGCTCAGGTCCAACAACTAACAGCAGCCCTGACCCAGCATGTAGACTTAGCTTCGCCTCCTGTCCTTCCGACGCCTGCTCCAGCACACGAGCCCCGTGTGGGAACCCTAGAGCGCTATGCTGGAGAACCTGAGGGCTGCAACCCATTTGTCACCAACTGCTCCATCTTGTTTTCCCTGCAGCCCTACACGTTTGCCTCGGAGGAAGCTAAAGTAGCCTTCACCATCAACCACCTGACAGGCAGAGCACGATTCTGGGGTACCGCTGAATGGGAGAGGCGCACGCCAGCCTGCTCTTCATTCCTGGCTTTTTCTGCGGAGCTATGCAAGGTGTTCGGGGCGGTCTCCAAGGGTCCTGATCCTACCGGGGAACTTATGGAACTGCGTCAGGGAGACCGGACAGTTGCTGACTATGCCATCGAGTTTCGCACGAGAGCACGCCTTAGCGACTGGAACTTGGCAGCACAGTGTGACGCTTTTTTGGCTGGACTAGCTGAGTATATTAAAGATGAACTGATTTCTTTTGATTTACCTGCTAACCTGGATGGCCTAGTGGAA